ACATTAACTGATGGTGCAGCTTTTGGCTTCATAGCACAGTTACTTTTTAACCCTCAGACCAATGTGTTTATAGTACAACTACTTCCAGTATTAGTCATAGTACTGTACACCATTCTTGGTTTTACCAGCAGATTATTATTATTTACATTATATCAATGCATATCACCTGATGATAAAAAGTCAGGTTTTAAAATTCTCAGTGTAAGCATTTTTCAGGCCCAAATGTTAACAATGCAAAACTGCACTCCTCAACAGTTTCCTTCCCCCATATAAAAGAAATATAATACTTCTCCATATGCTGCATGTTTCTGAACAGAAGTGTTGTCATGCACAGCAAACATCTTTGATGTTTCTTGTCTTAACCAAGCTGAGTTTATTTGTGGCATCAGCAACAGGCTAGAACTCTTTGCATTACAAGCCAACTATCGTGTGTCAAGTGTTTGTCAGCCTCCATCACAGTTACCATATAAAAAAACATATCACATTAACCATCAACACAGTTGGATCTTTGAGAAAAGCCTTTCTGGAGTAGTCAGTATACAACGTGGTTTCAACTTGTCCATTCCACACCTTTAGCAATGTTGAGAGCCAGTGTGGTGTAGTGGTTAAGAGCGGTAGTCTGCTAATCTGGGGAACCGGGTTCGCGTCTCCGCTCCTCCACATGCAGCTGCTGGGTGACCTTGGGCCAGTCACGCTTCCTTGAAGTCTCTCAGCCCCACTCACCTCACAGAGTGTTTGTTGTGGGGGAGGAAGGGAAAGGAGAATGTTAGCCGCTTTGAGACTCCTTAAAGGGAGTGAAAGGCGGGATATCAAATCCAAACTCTTCCTCTTCTTCTTCTTCTGTTGTTAAGTAAGCATTATACAGTTTTTAGATATGGGGCTGCATTCAGAGGCAATGCTACTCCATGATTTAGCACTTCCTGAAAGACCTCCTGAGTTTGCAACCTCCCTAATTCTTTTCCTAGAGGTGTTTGAAATGCCCCTCCCCCTTTTAGTTGTTTTGTTTTATCCAGACTAGAAACAGTGTTTGAATGCTAGCTGTAGTCATTTTCAAAACATTCCAATTCCAATTTCAAACCACCTACAGTATTGTGAAGCTGAATTGTTTGAACTAACTATAGTGGCCGTTATTTATTTAAAATATTTACTATCTACTTTTCATTTCCAAAGAATCCAACAGTATAGAACATTAAAACAAAGGCAACAACGTAACAAAAAGCATAGCACTAAAATGGCTACAACTTAATCACCAGGAGGAAACATGATACAATATTAAGCCATCAAGATCAGGGACTAATGTTCTGTGAAAGCCTGAGTGAACAAATGAGTGTTCAGCTGAAGAGGGAACTCAGAAGAGTCAGTGTCAGCTGTACCTCAGTGGTGAGTGAGTTCCACAGTCAAGGCACCACCACTGAGAAGGCCCTTCCTCTATACAGTGGTACCTTGGTTTACAACCATAATCTGTTCCAGAGGTCCATTTGTAAACCAAAACAGGGTGTAAATAAGGCGTGCTTTCTCCAATGGGGCCTCCCCCCCCAAAAAATTGTTTGTAATAAAAAGAAATGGGCCGTAATAATAACAATAAAAGGTTGCAAACCGGAACATGCACTTCCGAGTTTGACATGTTTGTAATCCAAAATGTATGCAAACCAAGATGTATGCAAACCAAGGTAGCACTGTATTGACACATGGTTTATTTCAGCTGCCTGCAGGGGTGCCAGCTTGGCCCTGAGACTGTGGGTGCCCGGGGCCTTGGGTGCCATGCATTGTGCATGGCCTTGGTACTGAAATTTGTGGGTGCCCGGGCACCCCAGGAGCCAGCACCTACAATATGGCTGCTTGCAGCACAGGCAAGAGGGTCTCCCTTAAAGATCTTAACACACAGGCAGGTCTATATGAGAAAAGATATTCCTACAGGGAACCAGATCCCAAGTTGTTTAGGGCACCTTGAATTTGGCTCAGCAGTTAAATTTCTTTACTATTAATCACATGGTTCACACTGTCTAACAACATCAAAGGGCCACAGGTTCCCATTTCTACTTTACCCTATCAAGCTCTCTTCTCTAACAGATATTGGGTTAAACTAGCATGTGTCCTTCACTGTACAGCCAAAAACATTTCCAAGCATGCAGCACAGTTCTCAGGCTGCTATATTTCGACAGGGAACATGAAAAATGACAAATATATATACTTTTGAACAGGTTTAAACTGTAGGCCACCACTTATTATCCCATTGCCTACAAACACTCACAGAACTGCAGCCACTGGTTCCATCACTGGTACATCCACCAATTAAGGAGCCAAAACACCTGTGTTGAAAATTTCCATGTCAACCATAATCAAGAAAGAGAGACACCTGAGACAGAAACATATCCTTGATCATGGCTTGCATTAGTGGTGGTGTTAAGACTGCAGAAGGAAAAATCCAAGCTAAGGTCACTTTTACAATACCTGTTTATCAGAGCATTCATCCCAATTTGTTTGCAGTGAGCTTATACAACATCATGTCAAGCAATTTCCACACTTTCCAATACATTTTCCCATCACTTTCCTTACCGCAAAAGTCCAAAAAAATTGTTTACGTGGGTTTGTTGTACCAGTGTGCCAAATCCATTTAAATAGTGCCATCTGCATTTCATAGTACGAGACTCAATCCTACCTGCAAAATGGCAACAGTTTGGAAGTGGCCGAATACAATTTTAAGGGAGATGATAAGACATCAAAAGATATATCCTCCTGTCAACCTGTTGGGCAATGCAACATTTTTCCATGCTTTCTCAGCCAAATCACAATTGTTATGTAAAATTGGACATGGTAAATACTGATAATGATTAATAATAAGCCTTGCATACACTTCATACTGTATTCCACTGGGCAGCAGAGAATACATTTACAGCATAGACTTCACAGGGTTACATATCTCCCTGTTAACTCAGGGAATCTATCAGGTACCTTTGTAATCTGGACAACTGCAAAATGTCCTATAGGATAGCCCCACATAGAACCACTCAGAAGTTTTAGCTTCACCAGAACACGGGCCTAGTTCTACAACAGTGACAATGCTAAGGAGATTATGAAGCATAGAAAACTCTATGTAAACCTCTACGTGGGCAAGCAGAATAGAAGTATAAGAAATAAAACAGTAACAGACCACCTGGACTGATTTCCTATTTGTCTTCTGGGCACAAGAGAGGAAGCGGGGCTACCAGGGAGGACTTCTTAGTGGTGGCACCCCAATTTATGGTTCCCTAAAAAGTACCTCCTTCAGTCAACTTTTATCCTTTGTTTTCCCCAAAAACCTTTTGCCTGATTTTTGCTCTGATTGTTAGCTTCCCTCTGGCTCTTTAGATCTTGATGCATTTTCATGTTTTTCTGTTTTAATTGTTTCTCTGTCACTTCTGTTACCAAGTTTCTTTGTATACAATGCACCTTGCAAATTTTTTAAAAACTTGATGGGCAATAGAAAAATATAAATTATGAAATGCCATGACCCTGCATTATGAACATTCTTTGTATATATATATTACCTGCATTCCTGTACCCGTGAAAATCTACGAAAGCATATATATATATATATATATATATATATATATATATGGATGGAGTTGTTTTTTGAAACTTGTATATGAATGCATTGAAGATAAAATAAATGTGTAACAACAAAATAAAAGTTGACCTTTAAGATCCAAAATCGCCTTAGGTACATACTGCCTGCCTTCCCTAAATCCCACCGCAAACCTGAAGATCACCTAAAAAGCATCCTGTAGTAGAGTCACACATGCTTGTTTCAGAAATTTTAGAACCATTTCTTCACTGGTCACAGGGGACTCCGGTCACACACAGTGCAAAGATCGTGCTTTGCAGTGCAGTCCTTATGCTCATCTACTCAGAATTCAGTGGGGGTTACTCCCAAGAAAGTGTGTACAGGGATGCAGCCTTAATTGCTCCAACTACTTTTTCAATATACCTGCCCATTACCCATTCACCCACCCCCCAAACACTTAATATCCCCATGGCTCTCTTCACTGCCTCATTATGTTTTACCATTATCTCCCGTTTCACTGTTGCAGCTAAGCCGGCTCCATTCTTTTGCAGCAGCGTGGTTCAGATGCATGCATTTCAAAGCCTACACGCACACCCTAGAACCCAACAACGCTGATCCCTATTATCAGTGGTCATTCCAGCATTGCCCTCTACTGTCAGAGGGCACTTCGTTTCATGTTATTCATTCTAGCACAGCACACCATCCCTAACCCTGCAACAGCAAAAAGTTCTGCAACACAGCACAACAGACCGTGCAAAAGGATCGTTGTTGATGCTTTTATTAAAAAAATGTAAACAACAGCCATCTTTATTTACGCTATGAGCTGACTGTCTGAGATGGGTAACAGCAATCCCAAAGGGCCCTTACAAACCAGTAGATTATGCTACATTTCCTTGTTTAAATCCACAATATTTTGGTTTTTTCAAATGCACTCTACCTCCCCACCCTTATACCCTTTCCACCCAGTACGGTAGATGTACACCTGATGCCTTTGTCATACATTACATGCACCCAACCCCTTCCCCGCAGACAGCTAGATTTCCCTCGCAATAAACGTGGGTGGGTGGGTGGGTGGAGGGGACAGTTATGCAGCGGGGATGGTATGCGGCGGTTCTCCCGTCCAGCCTGGCAGGGCAGTCAGATGTGCAAGCCTGCCTTGCAATGGAGTCGGTGCCCCGTCCCTCCAGCCTCGCGCTGGGAAGGCACTCTGCGTATGCCCCGATGCCCCCTTCCCCTTTCTTAACCGCCCATTCTCTTCCTACCCAGGGCTGGAATTCGGGGTTGCAAGCAAGTGGGGGCGCAAGCGAGACCCGCCTCCCGCGCAACTTCCAAGAGGTCGTCCTATGAAGCCCCTCCGGAACGCAGCCCGGAGACTAGAGCAACGAACGACGACCCCGCCGGCCCAGGCAGGCGGCGGCTTCGACAGCGCTTTTCCCGCCCAGCGACGCCGACGCACCTTGAAGCTCCCCCGGGCGGCCGCGTGGCCCTTGCCCGGCCCGGCGTGCTCCAACCGGCCGGCGGGGCTGCCGCTGCCTGCCGCTCCTCCGCCGCCACCCGCCTCCGCCTCGTCGGCGTCGTCGTCCTCCTCCACGTCGACCACCACGTCTTCCTCTTCGTCCTCCTCCTCGAGGGCGGCCGCCGAGCCCTCCCGCCGGGGCGGCCTCCACGAGTTGTCGAGCTTGGGCAAAGGCTGCGCGGCCGACGGCGAGGCGCTGAGGCGCCGGCTCCCCAGGCTGGAGCGCTTGGCCAGGCGCCGCGCTTGCATGGCTGGCCGCGCCCAGCTCGCCTCAGCGCGGCGCGCGGGAAACAGCAGCAGCAGCAGCAGCAGCGGGCTCGCTCGCTCGCTCGGCGGCGGGGCTCGGCTAGGGGGCGGCGGCTGAGGAGGCACTCACGGCGAGCAGGCGAGAGGGCAGCTGCTGCCGCCGCCGCCGCCGCTCGGAAGGAAGGCCGGCCGCCGCGCTGCGGCCATGAGGGCGACCCGCGCCGAGGGCGAGCGGCTCCGGGGCCCCGGCTGCCTGCCTTCCCGCAGGCCCGGCGGTGGCGCTCCCCAGCTGCGGGGAGGGACGGGCCGAGGCTCTTTTGCTAGTCTCTCTCTCCGCGCGGCGCGCTCGCCCCAGCCTCAAAACCCGGACTGGAATCGCCTTCCCGCGCTGCACAGGCGGCCGCCGCCGAGGAGCTGCCGCTGCTGCCGCGGGGCTCGGGACGCTCTCTGCTCCCTCCTGCTTCACCCAGCAAGCAAGAACTGGCGGTAGTCCGAGGTGAGGTGGGCAGGGCGGCAAAGCCAAGGCCCGGCGGGAAGGGGAGCTTTCCCCACCACGCCACCCCGTCCGGACCTGGCGCGAGGGAGAGACGCTGGAGGTGCAAAAAGCAAGCAGCAGGTGGAGGATGGCGCGCGCCTGATTGCTCTCTGGGAAGGGGCAAAAGTGAAGAGGCGGAGAGAGCATCCTCGGGGGGAAGCGTCGTCGTCAGAAGAGCCCTAAGATCCAAAGCCCATCTCGTCTGGCCTCCTGCAGTTCTCCGGATGATTATGGGAAGCCCGCAAGCAGGTAGGGCTGCAAAGACTTATTCCTGTCAGAATCATATAATTGTAGAGTTGGAAGGGACAAGCATCTAGTCCAGGCCCCCCTAAACTCGAACTTCCAGGTGTTTTGGAACTACAATCCCCAGCATCCCTGGCCACTGGTCCTGTTAGCTAGGGATGATGGGAGTTGTAGTCCCAAAACATCTGGAGGGCCGAGTTTGGGGGTGCCTGATCTAGTCCAACCACATGCAATGCATGTGTGGGACTCGAACCCAGGGCTCTGAGATTAGGAGAGCTGCTGTCAGTTAGTGTGGACAATGCTGAACTAGGCAGAGTGATAGGGTAACTTGGTATAATGTCACTTACTATGTTCCTAACCCTTTCAGCCCAATCCAGTGCTGGTTTACGCAGACTGTACTCTTAAATGGGGCTTATTCTGAAGTAAGTCTGTGTAGAATTGCATCCGAACAGCCTAATCCTAGGAGCTGAGCTGCTCCTAAGCTCATAGAAATAAATGGGTTTAGGGAAACTTAGCTACTCTGGATGTTGTTGGGTATTAATGCTGTTTGTCCTTATTTCAGCACCTGGTTTTTCACTGCCTTTTTCTGAAGCTTTGTTGTGCATTTGCTCAAACTTGCACCTTAGTGGTGGTTTTCCTGGGGGAAGGGCCCTCTGCCCCTTTCCCTTAGTTGTTGCTAAAGGTGATCCTTGTGTTAATTGATAGAGCAGTTAATCAGTCTATGCCCCAGAGCCCCGAGGTCCACTAATCAATAAGTAAGTATTAAGCACACCATAAAAAGTTCTGAGCAATGTATAACCATATACATGAAAAATAACCAATATTTTTAAAAAATAGACAAAACCTGCTCTTCAGACTGATATCAGTGTGGTATCAGGGTAGAAGCCCACCATGTTGCAACTCATTTTCAGAATAACCCTTCAGAACTCTTTTTTTAAAATCTCAGAGACCATGTGTTCCACACAGAAGAAGCATGGTCGAGAATGCAGGCCAGTGTGACAGCAACCCAGAACAGAGACCAGAATAATCTCCTCTGTTACATAATTACCTTTTGTGCCAAGTGGAATGGATAAAGGAAGGAAAACAATGTAGCATGAATACAATAATTATTTATTTGTACGCCATGCAGATATATTCGCTGCAAAACACACACCCTGTTCAGTGTACTTACAGGGGCAGACCTGAGTTTCCAAAGTCTGATAAATGGAACAGCATTCAGTTTGCAATTCTGAGTTTTGGCAGAGGGTGTCCATGATACCCAGAAGCCAATGTTTAGGGACAAAATTCACCTGGCACCCATCATTAGCTCCTTCTAACCCTGTGCCCATTCATAGCACAGAGGGAAATTTGGAGCCACCATCTCTGTACTTAATAGGAACAGCGTTGGCATGGTTATCCAAACCATATTGTTCTTACTCAAGGCTTCTTCCTGCCTGCTTTTGCTCAAGCACAGCACCAAAACAAAACCTTAGGAAACAACCACACAGAAGCCTCCTTTGTTTTCAGATCATTGGGGCCTTTAGACCTTTATCAGCTCAGTAGCAGCATTAAGGCAACTTGTTTTCACAATGTTTTAGGAACTTGCCATTTGGTAATCGGTGACCTACAAATCAAAATGATTTTAAGATTCTTCCCTTTTACACTGTGCACAAAATCTCTTCCACCTGTTAAGAGGCTTGTCACTCTGAGATGCCTTCAAGACCAAGCAAGTTTAACTCTATAACATCCTTAGTCATTTGTCATGTTTGACAAATTATCTACAAGATGAGCAATATCGCTGACAACCTTGGAGGATTGTTGGTTAAGATGGCACTGGATGTAAAGCTGAGGACTAATCTCTAACTGGAAGAAAGAGCAGAGGGGCTCCAGGTGCTTGAAATAAGATTTTAGCTTTATCTATTTTGGAACAAAATAAATCCTTCATTTTTAGCAGCATTTCTCAAATGCAAGTAATGTAGAACACAGCTGCCAAAACATGTCCCCCCAAGGAAGGATTTATTCCTAAACATGTTGGGTCTGGAATAAATCTTATTTCAAGCACCTGGAGCCCTCCACCCCTCTTGCTGTTGGTGCTTTCCTGATTTTGTGGTTGGTTATCCGGAAGGCAGCCCTCTTCAGGGAAGCTTTTAGTGTGTAATGTTGTATTGCACTTTTAGTATTTTTGGTTGGGAGACACTCAGAGTGTCTGGAGCAACCCAGTCAGATGGGCAGCATATAAATAATGAATGATTATGATTATGATTGTCAAAATATCTAATTGCCACACAGTCACCTTCCACTACTTTTCAGCCTATTTGTAAAAGGGAAGGGATGGGGTGGATCATCTTTGATGTGGCACACCGCTTTCAACATAGACGGAGTGGATAAAGTAATTTTTGAGCCAGCCAGCCTACCCCTGTAGGTGCAGCTTCCCATTAAAGTAGGGGCTGCAAAATGCACTCCTATTCTCAAAGAATCACCTCAAGGGAAGCAGTGCCTGTAAATATGGTCTACCACATCAGATGTTGACTGCTTTCAGACTGTTGCCATTTTGCAGGTGGAATTCAGGCAAATTCTGGTTGCACATATAAAGTGGATTTGGTGCACTTGCATAATAACAATCCACCTCTGGGTTTGTGTGTGTGCGCGCCCGTGCATATGTGGCAAGAAAACGGACAGGAAAATGCACTGGAAAGTGTGTGATAATGATTGCAGAGAGATTAAAAAGTATCATATCAACTAAACAAATAGACTTGAGGAGTTCCAACTGCTGGATGAACTCAAAGTCACCCACTTTATAGGATTGTTAGAAGGATGCACAAAGTATGAACTGTAAAACACTTTGCATTTGAAAGTATTAGAAGTAGAATAGAAATAATACTGTGGTTGTGAGAGAACACAGGGTACTAGGCAATGTCCAGAGCTGATGTGATACAAGGTCATAAAGTTTAATTCTTGTAGGTCTTGTAGTTTGTTACTTAGTCTACAAAAAGGTTCAGGGGCTAGGAGGAGCCTAGAATCTCCTGCCCCCCAAATTGCCCTGCTTCATAATTTAACGGGACATAGCTGTTGCATTTCATGTGGTTTCAAGACTTCTGTTCTAGTGAATCTCTGTTTCAGTTAAACGCTAGCTCTCTCAATGGCTTGTGGGCCGATACCTTGAACTGAATTAATCTAAGCTTCTGCTGAAAAATCCATTACGGCTTTTCCATCAGACTGTTCCTCCTACCGGCAGAATGCAGTCTGTAAACATGTGTGGCTCTGTTAAAAAGTCAGCCTCTCATTGGTAGAACTACTCCAGGCCTCCACTAAGCTACACATCTGAGCTGTCAGTTACTTTTACAGTGTGCACTAGATTTTGGCGCCACAGCTGGAAGTGAGGTTTTTGTTCCATAACAAAAACATGAGCCTGAATGGCAGTGCGCAGAGGAGAGGAAGGCAGACGCTTGGAGAGAGCCTGAATGCTGTCAGGGGAGCTTTTGAGTTTTCAGAGAGAGCATTCGGATTAATTTAGTATGTTTTGTTTGTATTCTCAGTCATTAAGTGTGTTAGGGTAAAAATGAAAAATAATGAGCCTTAGTGATGCACAGTCTTATAACTAGTTCTGTAACCCCATGAAGGTGATGAAAACAACATCTTGTTTGTGATGAAAAATGCAGTCCTGTGCATGTGTGCTTAAATCCCACTGAGGTTGGTGAGACTTCCTCCCTAGTGTGTTTAGGGTTGCAACCTAAGGCTATGCACTTATTTGGGAGTCCTGTTCAAATCATTGAGACCTGTTTGTTAGTAAGCACCCACACAGGATTGAATTGTAGGTGCCAATTCACATGACTGTACTTATTCATTTATTTATTTATCTGGCTGAAATCAATACAATTTGTCCTTTTTGTGTGTGTGAATTGGACTGGTTTTGTTCCCTTTGATGCAAGTGTGCAGAGTTGCAACATACAGTCATACCTCGGAACGGGTTACTTACGGGTTTCGGCGCATGCGCAGAAGCACCAAATTGCAACCCGCGCGTGTGCAGCCACGGTGCTGCAGGTTGCAGATGCTGCGGGTTGCAAATGTGCTTCCCGCATGGATCACGTTCGGAACCCGAGTGTCCAATGTAATACATTCTGGTTCAGCTATTTTTAGACTACAGTGGTACCTCAGGTTAAGTACTTAATTCATTCCGGAGGTCCGTTCTTAACCTGAAACTGTTCTTAACCTGAAGCACCACTTCAGCTAATGGGGCCTCCAGCTGCCGCCGTGCCGCCAGAGCACGATTTCTGTTCTCATCCTGAAGCAAAGTTCTTAACCCGAGGTACTA